CCGTAATAAATAATTACATTTGGGCGACATTTTTGGAAGTTAATAATAAAACATAAAATTTATTATGTTTTATGAAGTGAAAACGGTCCTTCATTAGTTAAATTTAAAAATAAATGAACTATATTTATGGAAGCATATTTCCAAAGAACAAAACTGCACCGACATCCCAGATATTTGCAATCAAAATAAAATACATTCCACCAGAAGAAAGTATGTTTCTTGTTGAAGTTTCAATTTTATAGAGAAAAATTCCACCTATTTTTGTCACAACGAGAATTGTCTCGATTGAAAATAACGAGGCAGTTTTGCCGAAAATAAACATCACATCACCAGAAAATGGTTTTAGCAGTTAAAAGCGAAAAATTGAAACAAAAAATAAACACAACAATGGAGTCAATCAAAGGAAAAGAGCCATAACAACGAAATCTAATGGTCCAAAAAAGACCGCAACGTCCGGTCATTTCTAGCTAATGTGATTTTTTTGTTTTTTTCAAATAGGAGGGAAAGATGTGAGTGAATTTCTTGTCCTATTTTTTCGAGTTCGTCTATATTATACACTCTGTTTTTGTAATTAATTGATTGGATGTAGTCAATAACCATCACATTATTCGACCCTCTCGAATGTTTACACCCAATATGTATTCCTTTCTCTTGAAGGATATCTACTAACAAATGAATCGATTCGGTCGTCCGGTTTTTCTTCAGTCTCCGTAATGCCGTTTGCTCAGTCACGCCATTCTCCATATCTAAAGCCATCCGTTCTTTAATACGACGCTCTACTACACTTTCAAATAAGATCTCATCTTTAGAATCAAAACTTACCATTTCAATGGGGATGAAGGGATGTGCTATAAATGTCCGTCGAGAAGGGCGTTCGATTTGGATACTTGCAAACTCATCAAGAATAGCTATACATACAACTTCAGTCAAAACATGGTTGGAGCGCCTTTCTTGATAAGTCACCTTACCAGACTTACCCGCTCCCTTCTTCATTATATTCATCGTTCATCTCAGATTTCAGTTTCATTTTTTATCTTCTCTTTTTCAAGGCATTTTTTTTTACTCAGGAGCGTAGGCGCTATTAATAAATACTATTAATAAATGCAACCGTCGTGAAGCGTTTTGGACTGAAACAAGCGTATTTATATATCACCAGTGCTTCCTTTTGCACCAACACAGTTGTGTTAGGGGGGTTATACATTGTTTGCTATATTATAGACTACATTTTCGGGGTTGCAATTTTGTACTCAATATGTCGCCGCCTTTTTCTAGATGGTCGGTAATGGATTGAATATTCGGCAAAGACGGACAAACGAGTGTTTTTGGAAAATAATGGTGTAAAACCCTTGTTTGTGATTTGGCTTATAAAATATATTTGGTGAAGATTTGGATATTGGTTAGTGCCATTCGGGCAATTTTGCGCCGAAATCCATTTAAAATACGGGATTGAACCATTAACTGTTGTGCCTCGACTCATTGGAAAACCCACCAATTTCCACTCAAAGGTACTGTCATGAAGAAGGTGTACCCTTCGAAGAGAAGAACTGGCATTGAGAAACTTTAACAAACATGTTTTGTAAACGTGGGTCATTTTTTTTAAATATTAGAATATAAGTACAGAGCTGAACAATATAATTTATATGTTGTGTCCACGTATTGAAGAAAATCTAGAAAATATTTTTGAATGAAAAAATAACGCTCGTATGCTGTTTCAAAAAAATAATTACATACCGTTACTTCTTGTCGCAAAACTAACATTATAACCAGATTGAAACTTTTGACATAAAAAAGACCAAATATAAGACATACAAAATTAAGTTAACCAAAAAATAAAGACAAATTCCCCTCAAAGAAAGAA